TCCCAACTCTGCTTTCGGAGACATGTTGGTAGTTTGAAATTGGCCATAGTGGGAGTGCTTATACCACAGAAATTGACAAACGCTACACATCAGAACCTAACCCTCCCCACCCCCGAGATCCAGCTGGTAAACATTCACCAGCTCACCACTTGGCAAGACTCCAGTGATTAAAATAATAAAGCTCAGACCAGATCAAGACTCTCCTTTGTGTCTACCAGAGGCTCCAGGGAGGGAGGGGCAGCAGGCATTGATCGGCTCTTTCTGGGACCCTTAGCTCACACTCACGGAGGACCACGTGGACCAGAGCCTTACATCCCATCTCTAACACGAAGGCTCTGTGAGTTTGGCCTTTTTCATTCTGAATTCTAATGCAGTCCCGTGTCACTTAAAGAGAGGGCTACATTCTGAGAAATGAGTCGGTAGGCAATTTCGCCGTCGCGTGGACATCAGAGTGCCTCACTCAGACCTAGGGGGAGGCCCCCGGCCCGCCTGGGCTCTGCGCTGGAGCCTGTGCCCCGGGCTGCGACCCCGCACGCCCGGCACTGCACTGAATGCTGCCGGCAATTTAACACAGTGGCTTCTGTGTTTCTAAACAGATCTAAATGTAGAAAAGGTACAGTAAAATACAGTATAAAATATTAAAAATGGTATCCCTGTACAGGGCACTTACCGTGAATGGAGCTTGCCGGACTGGAAGTTGCTCTGGGTGAGTCAGTGAGTGAGTGGCGAGTGAAGGTGAAGGCCAAGGACACCACTGTGCCTACTGTCGAGTTTATAAACACTGCCCACAAGCCCTCTCCCTGCTCCCGTCCAGCAGGGTCAGAACTAGAACATGGAAGCTGTCCATGCTGCTCCAGGATCAGGGGTGTGGGCTGGACTGATTGGAAAGATGGAGGAGGGACTGGCTGGGTAAGGCATAGATCCCTGTAACTGACTGTCAGGAGGGAGTGAGAGGTGGTCTGAGGACCCGTAGGAGAAAGAAATCAGGATGGAGAAAGGAACCCAGGGGATTGTCATGGTAGTGTGGTTTTAGCTTGTTACATGTTGGAACAGGCATGAGATTAAGGAACTTTGTTGTACTCATTAAAAAAAAAAAAAAGAAGGTGTTGAACATGAAGAAGGTATAGAACTGATGACTCAAGATTTTGACTTTGGAAATGTGTTTTTGGTTTCGCTGACCCCATCAGGCACAAAGGGCCCTCTCCGGCACTGACTGATGGAAAAAATAAAACCTATCTGTGCTTTAGATCATTACACCCTGCAAGCATTCCCGGAGCACGGGCACAGCTGGCCCCACCAACCGCAGAGACTTTTACTAACGCGGCAGTGCTCGGTCACACTTGTGGAGGTGGCTCCTGTGGACCTGTGTCCTTGTGCAGGGTCTGAGGTCGTCCACAGAGAATGAACAGCAATGTACTCTGAGGACCATCAGGCTAGACCTGGGCAGCTGCAGCACCCTCTAGATATGCTGCCCTCGGGAGGGGGGGACACAGGCCCCTCTGTGCTGAACAGGCCAGTGCTGACTGACTGGGATGCCATGTGTGCACTCGACACTGAGGTGCTGTGAGCGAGAGGGAATCTTCTGCCATGGATATTGCTCCCGTCAGAGAAAAAAATTCCTCCTGAACCACATACCCTTCCATTTCTTACAGCTCCGCTACAATTGTATAGGACCACTGTCACCTGTGCAGTCTGTCGTTGACTGGAATGTTATGTAATGCGTGACTACAGTTCACACTGTTGGATTCAGGAATTCCCATGCTAGGAATTTGTCTTGCAAGATGAGCTCAGTGATGCGTGTTCAAGGATGGTTACCACGGTGCTATTTACAACAGGGGACATGGAACACACTGTCCTGTAGTGGGGTTGAATCCATTCCTTAAAACATGAGGCAAACAATGAAAGAAGAAATTTTTTGAGGAATTTTTAATGACATTAGGGAATGTTCATGTTATGCTGTTAAATATATAAAACAGTGTACTGCCCTGGCCGGTTTGGCTCAGCGGTTGGAGCGTCAGCCTGCGGTCCCGAGAGACCCGGGTTCGGTTCCCGCTAAGGGCATGTACCTCAGTTGCAGTTTGTCCCCGGCCCTGGTTGGGTTGTGCGGGCGGCAGCTATTCGATGTGTCCCTTTCACGTCGATGTTTCTCTCTCTCTCTCTCCCTCCCACTCTATCTGAACAAAATATCAAAAAATGTCCTCGGCTGAGGATAAAAAAAAAAAAAAAAGACAGTGTACTGCCCTGACCGGTTTGGCTCAGCAGTTAGAGCTTCGGCCCAAGGACGTCTTGGGTTCGATTCCAGGCAAGGGCCTGTACCTCGGTAGTAGTTTGTCCCCAGCCGTGGGTGGGGTCGTGCAGGAGGCAACCAGTTGATGTGTCTTTCTCACATCGATGTTTCTCTCTCTAGATCTCCCTTCCTACTTCCCTTCCACTCTATCTGGGAAAAAAAAAATCAATAGAAAAATATCCTCGGGTGAGGATTAAAAAAATAAAATAAAAATAAATAAAAAACATAAAAATAAATAAAAAACAGTGTACAAAAGTATACAAATGGTTTCAATGTATACACACACACACAGAGAGAGAGAGAGAGAGAGAGAGAGAGAGAGAGAGAGAGAGAAAGAATGGGAAGAAAATCACCCAAATCTCAAAAGTTTTTATCTCTAGGGGATGGATTTGGGGTGGCTTTTCTTTTTTCTTATTTTCTTTAGGAATTAAAACTATGAACATGATTCACCATGTTGTTCTCTTGAGATGTGCACTCTGCTGTGTACGTGTATGCTAAGACTCAATTAAAAGTCTTATAACTGTGTGCGTACTTAATGCACCGGAAGCCAACAACAAGGGCTCCTTGGTGGAGAAAACGTGGTCATGGAACAAGAGTGAGAGGCGGACTTTACCTTTGTACCGTTTGCAACTTTCGAACTTGGAATTGTGAGCTCATCACCTATTCAAAGATGGGTTGATTAAACTTTTTTTTTTTTTAATCCTCACTCGAAGATATTTTTCCATTTATCTTCAGATAGAGTGGGAGGGAGGGAGAGAGAGAAACATCAACGTGAGAGAGACACATCGATTGGTTGCCTCCCGTACGACCCCAACACAGGCCGGGATGAACAACAACCGAGGTAGGTGCCCTGGGCCAGAATGGAACCTGGTACTCTCTGATCCGCGGGCCATCGCTCTAACCGCTGAGCCAAACCGGCCAGGGTGGGTTGATTAAACTTTTAAAAACAGACAATAAGCAGACATGAGTTCTTTAATCAGAGGAAAAGAAACACTAATTTCAGAAACCATCCCCAATCTATAGATGAGAGAGTGGAGCCACACAGAGGTGGAGGAAGCTGCCCAGGCTCACGAGCCAGAAGGCGGTTCTGAGCTCCAGCGCTGGTCCAATCCCTGAGTGTATCTGGGGCTTTGAGTTTGCAAATGACTGCTTCCCCAGACTCCTTTCCACTTGATAGAGGCAGAAACTGAAAATACTCAAGTTTAGGCCCACCTCCCTCACCCCCAAGTCACCTAAAGCACTGGCTTCTTGCCTGCCCCCCACCCCAGGCAGGCAGTCTCCACAACAGCTATTAAGGCCAGGATCCAGAGACTGCCCCTATGAGTTCCAGAGGGCAGTCACGGCTTACCCCAAGACCCTCAGCGGTCCGTATTTCTCCTAAAGGACTAGAACCCAAGGAAGAGTCCAAAACTCTTGAGGAGAGGAAGGAAAAGCTCTCCGGAGGCAAGAAGCTGCATCTGGAAGGGTTTAAGCCCTCGGAGCAGGCGCACAGTCATTAGTAGGGCTTTGGCATGTTTGGGGGCAATAACTGCATATTTTCTCCAGGGTGCATTGTGAACCGACTTTACTCAGAATGTAATGAGTATGTTTTCTACGAGGGGGTGGATATTTATGCTCCTCCCAGGCCTGCCTGGGCTGCTTTTCTGCCGTCTGCTTGGTGTTAGACTCCCTGCCTTCCTATTTTTAGATGGGTCCCACAGACTTAGCACCAGCTGCTGGATGAGACCGAGCACAGTGTTTCTGGTGGGACTGAGGAGGCCAGCGAGGCAGCCTACTGGGGGAAGAATCCTTCGCTCCAGTGCTTTACTGTGGCCAGGAGTCACTTTTTTTCATCCCTGTTCAAAGACTCCACCCCGGGGACTTTCCAAGCTTAAAAAATGGAGTGCTTTTTTTTTTTCCCCCCAGCAATTACATGGGTAGAAAATACAAATAAGTTCTTGTGTATCCCCTCTCCTCTGGCTCCAGGCTGCTGCTTTCTCTCATTCTGCTTTGGGCCCTTACAAAGTTAGGGTCTTCAACCCTGGCCGGTTTGGCTCAGCGTTAGCGCGTCGGCCTGCGGTCCAGAGAGACCCGGGTTCGGTTCCCGCTAAGGGCATGTACCTCGGTTGCACTTTGTCCCCGGCCCTGGTTGGGTCGTGCAGGTGGCAGCCACTCGATGTGACCCTTTCACGTCGATGTTTCTCTCTCTCTCTCTCTCTCTCTCCCTCCCACTCTATCTGAACAAAAAAATAGAAAAATGTCCTCGGGTGAGGATAAAAAAACAAAAACAAAAACAAAGTTAGGGTCTTCTGCCTGAAATGCTCTTTGTCAATTCTCCACTCCTTTCCCTATCTGAAAAACTCACCTCGGGCCACCTCCTTCAGGAAGCCTTCCAAACAGGGATATACTCCTTCTCTGACTTCTCACAGCTCCTGTGCTTCCCTCGGCCACAGCCATTCGCCAGTCAGTGCTGCGTACTTGCTTCGTTCCCTCCCCGCCTAGCTGTGCGAGTCTGGAGACACGGGAATGTGAGTTATTTCTCAAGCAAGAGTCCCAGTGTCCAACCTTGGGCCCGGAGCAGAACAGATGCCCAATGGATGCTGACTAACAGTTGATGACTATAGTAATGAAGAAAGCATCAGAGATGAAGGGGGCGGGTTGCAGAGGCTTAGAGAGGGGAGGGAGAGAGAGTGTCAGGCGTCACCGGCTGTGACAGAATACCAATTCAAACTACCTTAAGAAAAATGACCGGGGCTGTTGGCGCATAAATCTTGGCAATGATGAAACTGGGTTTAGAAATATCTGGAACCAAGTACTCATATATCTTTTTCATACCAGATTCACTTTCACAGACCACGTTCTCCACGAGGTTGGGAACCGGGCTGATGGGAGCACTCGCTCTGCAGATGCAGACAAGAGCTGCAGTTAGAAGCTTCAGAGAAGTGCTCGGAGAGACCCAGTCTGAGACCCATGTTGCCGCTGACGAATCACTGTCAGACGATGGCGGCCCTGAAGACAGGAAGAGCCGTTCTTCCCAACACGTGGGGGGTATCACAGCCATGACGCGGGGGAATCACTGTGAGCTGGGACGCCACCCCAATTTTCTTTTTTTGCAATTTTTATTAATTTATTTTTGTTTCAGATGTTTCTTCTTCTTCCCCCCTCTCCCCGATCCCTGCCCCAGCATTGTTGTCTATGTCCTTTGGTTACACATAGCCACCCCCATTTAAATTTACCAAAGTTACTAGCATTTCCTGAGCATCTCTGTGCCTAATCCATGTTCAATGTTCTCATGGCGCTGTATCTTACAGTAACTCTATGAGCTGGATATCATTACTCCCATTGCAAAAATGAGTAAAATGAGGCTCAAAAAGGGTAAGTAAGCCCTGGCCGGTTTGGCTCAGTGGTTAGAATGTTGGCCCGTGAACCAAAGAGTCGTGTGTTCGATTCTGGTCAAGAGCACATATCTCGGTTGCAGTTTGTCCCTGGCCCTGGTTGGGGTCATGCAGGAGACAACCAGTCGATGTGTCCCTCTCACATCGATGTTTCTCTCTCTCTCTTCCTCCCTCTCAGTCTATCTGAAGATAAATAGAAAAATATCTTCAGGTGAGGATTTAAAAAGAGAGAGTTAGTAATTGCCCCAGAGTCCCAGAGAGTCAAGGAGCACAACAGAACACTTAGTCCCACCATCCTGTCATCTGTGTACAGTGAAGAAACTGCAGCCACAAGAGGGTAGGACTTGCCGAGGTCACAGAGTGTCAGTAGGATAGTCTGGAAGTGGAATTCACGAGCACTTAGTCATATGGCACATATAGGGATACTATATATAAGTGAGAGGCATCTCGGGGGTACCTGCTGTGCTCATGACAATTTATCGTCTCTCAGAACAGCTCCCCATCAATCCCCATAACTCTAGGGAATGACCCCCAGAAGAGTAGCCTGGCAGCCATGTTAGTGTACGTGACCCCACTCCTCTTCCCAAAGCTCACCGGGCCAGAGGAGGACACCTGCTTCAGTTGGGCGAATCCCCTTCTCTTGGGAATTCAGGAATTCTTTTCAGGACCTGATCTGATCAGAGGGGCAAAGAAGACCAGTGTGAGAGAAGGAACAAAGGGCAGAGATAGAGACAGGGAGGGACCTCATCCCCTGGGTTTTACGTTCAGGCTGATTATGCTCCCCCTTCCTGATCCCACTCACCAAGGCTCATGTGGGGCCAGCTGAAGAGAGACTGGATGTTAAGAGGTTTGACCAAAGAGAACGAGCAGGAGCAGGATGTTAGCTAGTACTACTGAGTCCCTACAGGTTCCAGCTCTGACATACATTTCAGCTGTTTCTCGTAACAGCCTAAGAGCGTCTACCTATTCTCCATCACAGGGAGGAGACGCGTGCTCCAGCACGGACGTGGCTGGCCCCTGGTGAATGGCTGGGGAGTGGCAGAGCGGGGACCTGAACCCAGTGTGCAGATGGCCGCCCCTCGTCATGGAGTCCTTTAGAGGATCGAGGGGTGGCAACATGAGCTTCTCCAGCACTGTTTCCTCCCCAAGCTTCACAGCTCCAAACCCTCGTCACTCCACACGTCCCATCCTCTCAAACGGCTCTCCGAGGCCCCACAGTCAGATGGCCCCGCTACACCTGCACTTTCCCTCCAGCGTTCATCACAGTGAGGTTCTCGATCCTGCAGGTGACCGTCTGCCTAATGTCTGCCTCTACCTTAAGTTCCATGAGGGCAGGAGCTCTATCTTTTTCACTGCGCTATCCCCATTTGTTCATTCACTCCACAAGTATTTACTGGGTGCCCGCTATGCGACAGCCACTAGTAGGTGTTAGGGATACAAAGAGAGTGAGTGTGACCAAGATTCCTGCCCTTGAGCTTACCTCCTAGTGTGGAAAGACAGGCAGTAAGAAAGTGTTATAGTCTGTGAAGGTGATGAGCATGATGAACAGAAACACATCGGGGAGGATCATAGGGTTAGGGTGCAATTTTATATAGAGAGGTCAGGAAGGGCCTAGAAGGAAGGAAGGGAGGAAACCATTTGGGTGCATGGGGGAAAGGCATTCCAGGCGGAGGGAACAGCAAGTACAAAAGTGCTGAGGCAGGAGGGTCCCTGGCATCTTGCGGGAACAGCAAGGAGGCCAGTGTGGCTGGGGCAGGGTGCAAAAAGGGCAGGTCACAAAGCCATGCAGGGCGCTAGAGGGGCGTGGCCTTCCCTTTGACTTGGGAGGCCACTGCAGAGGGACAGAGTGACCCAGAGTAATTTGATCTGATTTAGGTTTGCAAAGGACCAATCCTGCTGCTGTGGTAAGAACTGATGTTTCTGACATGCATCAGGGACTTAAGAGATATTTTTGCATAAGTAGAAGAGAGTGAGAGTGAAGAGAGAAAGGAATCACTATCAAAGGGAGAAGCTGGAGAAGCAAACCCGCAGGACTTCTGACCTTGACATTCAGCAATTCTGAGTCCAGTTACGAGGAGGTGAAAGGGAACAGATGTCTGCTGAGCCGAGTGTGAACCTTTTTGCTGTCAGGGCATCTCAGGAAATGTTCTAGAGATCAGAACATCTCTTGCAGGTCAAGACTGGAGGGCTTCAGGAGAACCTCTGAGCTGTGGCTTTCCACTGGCCAGGGACAGTCTGTGTGTCCCTGACTTCTCCTCCTGTATGTTTAACTCAGATGTTGCAAGTGGACTCAACAAGGTTCTTATGTTCTCCAGCAGGTCCTCTATCCAACCTTCAGGGTTGGCAGGCCTTACCGATACATCTGGTCTACCTCCTGGGGTAGTACCAGACAGAAGAGGCTCAGGGAGCAGGCTTGCTAGGAAACATTGGCAGCAGAGCACTATTTGGCTGGGACCAGGAGGCTGTCCAGGGTGGCAGGCTCTCTGTGGGCAAAGCCCTGGATTCCAGGGAGCCAAGGCCAAGGAAGGCCAGGAATTCCTCGCTTTAATTTTGCCTCTAATTCCTCCCAGAAATGAGGCGTGTCAGTCATCAAATTCTCGGGTTTTTATGAGGCGATTATGGTGATTACTATATGTTGTTTTCAAAGGGGCAATTAAGTGGAGGAACCAGACACCATTTTCATTTCTCATTAAGTGGTTAGGGTTTGTTTGGCAAATCCTGACATCTGTGGCTAGAGGCGGGCTCTGCTGAGCTTGACTGGGCCAATGCACAGCCTCTATGCGCATTAAGCATCCAGCACTTCCCTTCCTCCCTGGCCTCTCCTGGCCTGAAGGAGCTGGAAGGAATCCTTCCATTGTACAGATAATGAAACTGAGGCACAGAGTGGGGAGCTGACTCTCCAATAGTGCATCACTCGCAAGCAGTAGTGCCAGGTTCCGTCCTCCAGAGCCAGGCTCCAACTACTCTACGATGTTTCCTATTGAAAGAGGGAGCTTTCAATAAAGGTGTTCCCACGGAGGCCGCTTCATTTCTGGAAGGGGCAGTGAAGGCTCCTTCTTTAGTGTGGGGTCATTTTTCCCCCGATTCTTCTTTCTCCTAGAACCACCACCATATCAACAAGCAGAGCAGACATTGTTGGTTGTCCACCCAACAGTCATTCCCAGTTGTCTTTCGCTCACCTCTCACTAAAGAGACTATACCCAGCCTCTAGTGGTTAGGAGAGGCTATATGACCCAGTTCTGGCCGATGAAATACATGGGGGATTCTGCTGGGGGGCTTTTGGGTATGATTTTCCTCCCATTTCAAGCCACTCAAGGAGAAAGCCTTTGTTTCCTACTCAGTCCCTCGCGTCTGCTTTTAGATGTGGTTGTTTACAATGATGCCTGGAGCTGAGGCAGCCATCTTGTAAGCTGAGGCAACATGCTTGAGGAAGAAAGCCAACTGTTCCTATTGCTATGTAACAGATTACACCAAAACTCAGCATCCTAAAACAACAATTTGTTATTCTTTCTCATCGTTCTGTAGGTGGACTGGGCTCAACTAGATGATTCTCACTAAGGTCTCTTACATGGCTGTAGTCTGATGGAGGCTGGGGCAGATGTCATCTAAAGACTTGACTGGGTGGGACGTCCTGGATGTCACTCACAGCTGGCAGTTGATGCTGAATGTCCCATGGGAGCTCAGCAAGAGCCTTGACCAGTGTACCTGTGTGTGGTCTCTCCATTGGGGCTTACATGTCCTTCAGCATGGTAGCTGGTTTTTTAGGGCAAGTATTTAAGCATTAAGCATTAAAAAAATTTTTTTTTTAATCCTTACCTGAGGACGCCTTTTTTTGCATTTATCTTCAGATAGAGTAGGAGAAAGAGAGGGAGAAAGAGAGAGAGAGGAATAGCGATGTGAGAGAGACATATCAACTGGTTGCCACCCGCTCGACCCCAACCAGGGCCGGGGACAAACTGCAACCAAGGTACGTGCCCTTAGCGGGAACCAACCCCAAGTCTCTCTGGTCCACGGGCCGACACTCTAACCTCTGAGCCAAACTGGCCAGGGCAGCACTAAGCATTTTAAAAGGCCCAGACAGATGCTACAAGACTTATGACCTAACTTTGAAAGTTCAAAATGTCATTCCCACGACATTTTATTGGTTACGCAAGTCACTGAGGCCAGCCCAGATCCCAGGGGAAGAGAGTTAAACTCTCCCTCTTGATGAGTGAACGGGCGGGTCACAGTGCAGAAGAGCCAGTGGTGCGGGAGATACCATTCCATCCATCGTTTGGAAACTGTAACCCACCATACCGCACTCTGAGGACAGTGAGGAGGTAGGATGGAAAGAGTCATGGTCCTTGTTTTCTGTGAGCCACTGCACCAGCCCTGGGACTACCCCTCTGGACTTCTTCAGTAAACATATAATGTCCTAAAGGGTGAAACCATTATGGGCTGGATTTTCTGTCAAAGACATTCTAGAGGAGGTGGGACTTAAACTGGACATTTAGAATTCTTAGCCTGTGGTACCAGATGCTCCTAGGTTTGAGTTCTAGTTCAGCAGTTATTACTAGCTACGTGGCGCTGAGCAAGTTAGCCTCTCTGAGCTTTTGTTTCCTCACTTATAAAATAGGAATAACAGCCTGGCTGGTGTAGCTTAGTGGACTGAGTGTCGTCCCATGGA